TCAGCTGGTGTGTGGAGAACAGGTCACTACATCAGCGTATGCTCTGATTGTGTTGACTCATCGAGCTTCTGATGTGCCTGATTCCAGGCTGTCCTCACCTCCTGCTGCCTGGCACATGGGGCAAGCCTCTCGCACACAGGATAGCCTCCGGCACCAGCAAGCTGATGGGGGTCGGATCCCTGCTCCGGTCAGCCCCCTTTACTGGGCACCTCTCTAGGAGTGAGCAGGTGTGTGTCGGGGATCCTCATCCCGTGCAGGAGATGGGTGCCCCCCGAACTCCCAGTTCCTGGTGGGAGCGGTGGTGTTGTGCACCTTGCAAGAGCAGGTCCCCTGCTTCTGCAGGCGCTGGGTGCTGAGCCAGGCTCGGGCAGTGAGCGGTGGTGTGACGGTGTGCCGGCCGCTGTTGTGTGTAGACACACAACCATCAATAGCACAGGAAAAGCGTTAGTGTTTTGTGTACACACTGCCAGCTTGGGTCAGCTACAGTCCAGTGGCTCAGTGTCTTTTCAGAAATGTTCGTGAAAGCTTTAATTCATTGGTTTGTTAGCACTTCAAACTTAACAGAAAAAAGAGGCTATTCTTTCTCAAGAACGGGGAAGTGCCTTCTTTCATTGTTGATGGAAAGCCTCTTGACAGGCCTTAATTTAAAAGGAAATACGAAATCCCAACAACTCCAAGAAGCAGTGAGTTAGCAGTGCATGTAATGAGGAAGGACTTGGGCACGACTGAAGAACAGGTCTGGACAGCTTCAGGGTCCCTTGTTACCTGGTGCACGCAGCATGGTTTGTGAAATCCAGTCGTACTCCATCTGTAGCTTTTCTCTTGGGGAAGAAAATACAGGTCCCAGTGGCAGTGAATCTGTACATATGCTTCACTCAGCCTACTTTCTGGTGAGCCTCCCAGAGGTTTTCCTGGCTGTCTTGGTGCCAGACTAACACCGCATGCTAGTTGCTGTGCAGGCTTGCTTGGTGTTTTGACCTAGCTGCATAGCCACAGAGCAGCCTCCTGGTGAAGGTTATGTGACCTGACACATTACAGGCTGTTTTTCAGAGAAACTATTATTTTTTTTCTGGTAACAGAGTGAAAGCGGCATGTTCCTGGTAGAGTTTGCCAAACCACTTGTGTCACATGGAAGGCATCCAGTGTCTGTGCAAAAAACAGCAAAGGATGACATCCTGGAGTACGTGAATGGGATGAAGCACTCCTTACTCCCTGGAGACAAAGTACTAGCACCCTGGGAACCAGATGTGGCCAGGTATGGCCCAGGAACTGTCCTCTCAGGCATTGAGACAAGGGACCCCTTGCGAGGTAAGAAAGGTACTGCCCTCTTCTTGCTTGCCTTGCTTGGGAACACAAGTGAGACTGTCAGGATAAACTCATGTTGTGGTGCTACTGCCAGAGAAGCACCAGTGCACAGACTATAGTTTAGCATTGCTTAAAGCTTGCAGGAGCTGATGGGACTTGCTGATGGATATCTGCATGTAACCTCACCAGTATGAGCCTAAGGAAGTTGTGACCCATAAAAATGTCATCTTCTGTGTCCGCTGGTGTGCTATTTCCCATCTGTTTGGACAAGGCTGTGTCTGCCATGTGAAGGACAGTGGCCTTTTCCTGAGGAATCCAAGTGAGGCAGCTCTCAGGTAGCACCCATCCGTGCTTGAATGTTTGTGTTTGTATTGAATGGTACATCGGGGGGTGATTTTATCACCCAAGTGTAGATTTCAACAGCTCATTCATTTTTCCCATGTCTGACAGTCAGGCTCTGCTGACATCAAAATGCTGTTCTCAGAGCATTACTGCTAACTTTGGCAACAACAACAAAAGTTACTCAGTTAACATTTTCTTATTCATTTAATGACAAATGGGGAGGAAAGATACTGCCAGTCCTGTTGTCACACTGATGGTGCCCTAGCTGTCCACTACACCTTACATGACATTATGGTGAGATGTTACAGAGAGGGGTGATAGCTGATTCTACAGCTTAACAGGAGTAGAAAGTGAAGAAAGCTGCAAAGCCTGACCTGTGTATCTGCACTGCCCAGGCAGGCCAGCTGCTTATAGCTGCTTATCTTTTCTCGCAACAGCCTCAGAAGATGAAGAAATTATGGTCAAGTTCTGGAATGGCAAGAAAGTGAAACTCCCACGAGGTGTGGCTGTGTGGATCCCCCCTAGCCTCTGCGAGAGGATTGTAGAGATGATCCACATGCCCTTCACCAGCAGGGTGAAGTCCAGAGAAAGTCCGGACAATAACTCTTGTATTTTTTCCTGCAGTCTGAAACCAGCCTTGACTCCCATTTGTTCTGTATGTAGCCTTGCCAAGCACTACTTGCTCTGCTCGCCCTGCTGTTCACGTTTCCACTGGTATTGGGATGGTATATGCTGTTCGTTAGCATGCATAAGGTGCATCTGCTGCTGCCATCCCCATGTTGATGCCTGGTGGCCTCTTCCACCCAGGTCTCTGGTCTTTCAGAGAGAAACTGAAGAGGCAGAGTCCAGCAGTGAGCCTTCTCCATGCCTTCTAGAACTGGAAGGTCCAAAACAAGAGGAACCAGCAGCTGTGGTAGCATCTTCTCCCTCTTCTGATTCAGAGTGTGACCTGGAGCCATTCCCCACTAAGAGTACTGTGGTGGACAGTGCTGATAGCACAGACTCCAGACGTCCTGAGAAGCCCGGGCTAAAAGATTCCACAAGACCTGTGTGGAAATACTGGAAAAGAAGCCACCACATGTTCCATCCTAATAATTCAGGTACCTTTTAACACCCCCACAGGAAAGCAGCAGCCAGAGGGAAATAATCAAGTATCATCTGGGCAGTCACTTTGCCTGTCATTAATTGGTATAAATACTATAAATTTTCATATCAGCCTCTGATACAGTATTTCCCCCTCCCCTATGTTTCTGCTGCCCCTTCTTGCATGCTAGCTCGTCCAATGGAAGACTACCAGAACAATGGATTTCATTGGGAAGCACAGATATTCCTCTCTGAGTTTGTCCCCTATTATTTTCCTGTGCTTTTTATGATGCTAACATCTTCATTAACCTTCACAGTTAGTCCATGCAGAAAAACCTGAAAGAATTTCTTGCGGGCTTAAAATGCATTTTCCTTTCTTCTGAAGTGAATGTTTCTCCATTTCACTTCTGGTTTTACTCTTCCTAAGTCTTAGATACAATTTTACTCCCACCAGGAGCTGGCAGTTGCAGCAGCACATGTACAAAGGGCAAGCTGAAACCCAAAGCCATCTCCATTGTGGACATGTCTCGTGTTGCCCCGACTAATCGGAATGCAATGTTTGAAACCATTGAGCAGTCTCCCAGAGGGCAACTCACAATGAAAGAAACCTTAAGAGACCAATATTTCAAGCCGTTAGCAGGGGTAAGGTAATCTGTATTAACACTGTATTTACTTAAGTACATGGTTTGAATGAAAGAAATATTCTTGTTAATGGTCTGTTGGCTGGCTAAAAAAAATACATCTTTCTTGGCACACTAAGGCCATCCACTAGTTTTGTGATAGGGAGGGAACTTCTCCACTAATCAAAACAAAAACAAAAACCCCAAAACCTTAAGGAGGGCCTGAAGCTAGTTGGTAAAACGGAAAAGATTATGACAGTAACTGTGTGAGTCTTCAACAATGCAAATTTCCATTCAGAAACTTGCCAAATGCCCACTGACATCAATCCAGTGAAGTCCTACAAAAGTAGGGACCTACGTGAGTGGCCCTGGAAATGGACAGCTGTGACTGTGAGCAGCAATAAGACACAAGAAAAGACTCAATCTGGAAAGGTGCTGGGCTCTGCCAGTCAAAATCTGATAGTCACGATCTCTGTCTCTGAAAGATAAAAGGAGATATTTTTAGTAAACAGTGTTTACTGAGTGTCTTCTCTTACTCCCTCACAAGAAGCAAGCAGTTTGAACAGCAGATCCCTTACTCTGAAGCTGGGGGATACAGAGTAATCAAACTGTGTCACAGCTAGAACAAGGAGAACACTCTGATTGTTAGGCCTGGTTTCTGTCAGCCATGGCCCCCTCCTGCTTTAGAAAAACTTGAAAAGAAGAATCAGAACATGAATGCCAAAAAAAGCAAGCACAGAAAAGAGGAAGAAAAAAGCTTGCAGGAAGAAGGGGAAGATGAAGGAGAGTGGCAGGATGAACAGAAACACCAGGGGTACAGTTAATAAATTATATATCAGAAGTCAAATAGTAGCTCCTCTGTAACATCACACTCTTGCTACTGTGAGCTGACTGCAGAGTAAAACCTTGAACCTGCTAAACTTGCATGACTTTCTTTAGGATAAGATTAATCTGTCAACGACATGTCTTAGTGAACAGAGAATATACTGGAATATATCTTGTATTCTCACAAATACGTGCATTAATTTTAAGCTGATGCCTACTAGCTCATTAACTGTATGGTTCCTATTTTATTATATAAATAATCATAACTGCATCCATTATACACCTTTGTAATTAATTTCCTAGAAACCTGTAATTTTTAGGCCAGTATGGAGCTGCAGGCAGACATGCTCTATGTTAGCAAGAGTCACATCTGTGTATTGAAGTGACGAGCTTTGCCTTTTGGTAAAAAGAAGCCAGAGTGGCTTCATTCTGGCCCCAAACTGGCAGCATGAGTTACAATAGTGGACACCATGCGATAATACAGAATATGATGACATACTTTTATTCCTGTAAAATAGCCCTCGGTGTGTTTTAAAGGTATGTTGAAACCCAGAAGATAAATTGTTACTCCTTGAAATAGCTGAAGCAGTTTTATCATATAATGCAGACTGCATCTGAAGTAACACAGAGTAACACTAGCACAGAGATGATACCATTATTAAAGCTACCTGAGGTAGAAGTACCTATCTTTACAGCCAGGAAAGCAGCTGTTACAAAGACACCGATTTCTTTTTTTTTTTTTTTTTTTTTTTTTTTT